TTTTTTGTGGCAGAACCGGGGATTAAACTTAGACCCTTGCGCTTGCCAGGGAAGCACTTATTCCACTGAGCCATCTCCCCTGCCCGAATTTCTGTTTTTCTGAGTCCAGTCCTGAGGTTAGGGAAAAGATAACTTGACTAGTTTAGGGTACTTTCTTCCTAAGATCCTTATCTTTCCTCATATTTTAACTTTAATCATTTTTTCTTGTGTTTTCTATTTCTAAGCTTGGCTAGCTGCTTGAATTAACTTACGGCCTCTTTTATTACATAGTTAGCTCTGACTGTCCACTCATAATGACTAAATACTACTTTGACTTTACATTTATTTGCCACTACTCTTATCTTTCTTCCTTTTTGGCGGTATAACTGGCTTTCCACTTGGGAGACTTCAAAGCATGGTCTGGGGTCTCTAGGACTCTTTTAGAGACTATATTCAATCAAACTAGTGTACTAGTATCTGTTGATGATACTTTTTTTTTTTTTTTTTTTGCGGAGCCGGGGATTGAACTCAGGCCCTTGCTCTTGCTAGGGAAGCACTTATTCCACTGAGCCATCTCCCCGGCCCCTAAAAACAGAGTGTTAATGATACTTTTCACTCATGGATTTACCAAGAAATTTTCCAGTAGTTATGTGACATCTGAGGACATTATTTGGCAGTTAATGGAATTATGCCTTTGGGTTTTTTTTTGTTTTTTTTTTTTTTTTTTTTTGGACAAGGTCTCACAAGTGCTATCTGGCCTTGAACTCAGCGATTCTTCTACCTCAGCTTCCTGAGTGCTGGGTTTCTGGTCATTATCATGATGCCTGTTTGTGTCTATATTGTGTTTTGGGATTATTCAATTTTATTTTTATTTTAAATTTTTTTTGCTTTTATAAGTGATTTTATTAGTATGTGTTTGTAATATATACTGGTTTTTTTTTTTTAAATTTTTTAGTGTGTGTGTGTGTGTGTGTGTGGCCAGCTCAGCCCACTAGGGGGCGGGGCTGGCCGGCATGTGGTGCTGGGGGATTGAACCGTGGTCCCTGTGCTTTGCTAAGCTTGTTCTAAGTAGGTGCTTTAGACCACTGAGCCATCTCACCAGCCCTGTTTTGTTTTTTGAGACAGGGTCTTGCTATACAGTTTAAGCTGGGCTTAAATTCACTATGTAGCCCAGGCTGACCTTGAATTTCATCCTCCTGCCTCAATCCCCAAGGGCTGGGATTAGGGTGTGTATAAGGCTCCCTTGGTCTCAGGGTGATCCATTCTACCCAGGGAGAAATGGGGGCAGGAATCAGGAAAAGATAGACAAGACAAGAGCTGGGTTAGGTGGACGTGTTTACCTGGTTGGCAAGATGACCCCTCCAGTAACAATATGGATGTTTATACCTTTCTAAAGTTAGTAACACGGGACACAAGGTTGCCTAGGGACTAATAGCCAACATTAACCAGTCAGGATGCTTTTCTCAGGACGCTTTTCTGAGGTAGCTTGGCTGCTTTAGGTGCTGAGGTCTCATCCCAGTTGCACCCATTTGACCAGTTTTCTAGTTTCTGTGACTTGCAACCTGCTGGCCTTGAATTCATAGCAATTCCGCTGTCCAAGCCTCATTTTTTATTTTTTTAAAAGAAGTTAAGGGCTTGGGAGATAGCTCAGTGGGATAAGCACCTGCCTAGCAAGCACAAGGTCCTGAATTCAATTCCTGCTACCACAAAAAAATAAAATGTTGACAGGCATAGTGATGCATACATGTAATCCCAGCACTTGGGAGGCTGAAGCAGAACATAACTGCAAGTTCAAGGCCATCCTGGCTTACAAAGTGAGCTCAAGCCCAGCCTGAGCATAGTAAGACCTGGTTGAAAACTAAAACAGGGCCGGGGAGATGGCTCAGTGGGATAAGCACTTCACTGGCAAGTGCAAAGGCCTGAGTTCAATCCCCAGTTCTGCCAAAAAAAACCTAAAACAAACAAAAAACAGTTGAAGTTAGGCTCCTTAGGATGCTGGAATTACAGGCCTGTGCCACCACACCTGGTAAAATATTTGTCATCTAGTTCTTTTTTTTTTTTGGTGGAACTGGGGATTGAACTCAGGCCCTTGCACTTGCCAGGCAAGCGCTTATGCTACTGAGCTGTCTCCCCACCCTATTATATAGATCTTTATGGAAAATATTTAGTACTCTGCTCTAGAAGAAGAAGGTAAATTTATTTTTTTTTTATTTTTTTAAATTTTTTTTATTTTTTTTTTTTTATGTGTGTGTGTGTGTGTGTGGCCAGCTCAGCCCACCAGGGAGCGGGGCTGGCTGGCATGTGGTGCTGGGGGATTGAACCGCGGTCCCTGTGCTTTGCTAAGCTTGTTCTAAGTAGGTGCTTTAGACCACTGAGCCATCTCACCAGCCCCAAGAAGGTAAATTTAGATGGCAGCATAGGCACTTTATGGTGCCAGGCAGTGTTCCTTATATTTTACATGCATTAATTCAGTTAATAGTGATAACCTTCTGGGAAATATAGTTACGCAAGGTTGTCATTGTGTGAATATTACAGTATACATATCACTAGGTTATGTAATCTTAAGGATGCTGTCCTGTAATGGTCTGTCATTGAAACAGTTTTTGTGTGTCACGTGACTTATGCTTATCTTACATATTAGGAAAACAAGTCACAGTAGGTTGGATTATCAGGCCAAAGTCACCAGGTGCCAGAACCTGGATTTGAACCTGTCACACCATGGTTCTTGGTTGTAATTGCTATGCCAGGCACATGGCTATCGTTTCCTCTTTTCTCTTTCCTGTTTGCATAATGTGATACTTTATTCCCCCCGACCCCTTTAATCTGGCCTTCAGATGACAACAATGGAGGCTGTGGAGTCCCCAGAGTCCCTGGCTGCTGTCGCTTACCTACTGAACCTTGTCTTGAAGCGGTAAGTGCTACTTGCTGTTGGAACTGTGGTTCTCTGCAGGAGGATGTGGACAGGAGGAGCAGGATTTTTTTTTTATGGTGAAAACATTGTGGAAATGCACAATAGTGTGAATATATGTAATCCAACCAAACTGCGCTTTGAAGTGCTAGCTGGCGGGGAGCATACCTGTAATCCCAGCTGCTGGACAGGCTGAGACAGAAGGATCTCAAGTTCAAGACCAGCCAAGACAACTTTTTAATTTTTATTTATCTGGTATAGGGTCTCACTACACAGCTCAGACTCATAGTGATCCTCCTGCCTCAGCTTCCTCACCAACTGTCAAATAGCGCTCTCCCCGGCCCCCTCTTTCTTTGAGGTAGTCTCACTGTGTAGCTTAGGCTGGCCCTGGATTCCCTGTATAGACCTGAGTGCTGGGGTGCAGACGTGTGCCATGTCCATGCAGCCTGAGAGCATCAGACCTTCTCTCAGAGTAAAATACGAAAGAGCTGTGGATGTAGCTCAGTTAGAGAGTGCTTGCTTAAAAAGCACGAGGCCCTGAGATTAGTCCGTGCTACTGCACAGTGGTTAAGATGACAAGGTTTATGTGTGTATTTTACCACAGTTAGGAAAATAGGACTGTTAGGATCCTTGAGTATTGGTAGCATTCTGCATGAGACTCAGTGTGGCTTGAGCTGTCCTACTGTGGAGTAAGTGCTGGTGCCTGGCCAGGAGGAATGGCCTGGGATGTTGGCACCAGGCCGGGAGTAGACGTGCGGCTAAGGCAGGCGAGAGGGGATTGGTGTGTGGGTGGCACAGAGAATGGGTGGAAGGGGAGATGAGGAAGAGGGAGCGCAGGTGTCACCGAGTAGCTGGCCTAGCAGTGCCCTTCCTTGGTCAGCTTCCTTTACGCCACCAAGGCCTGCCCCATCTGCTCTTCAGTGGCCCCTATGGGGTGACCTTCTCTGTTCTCCCCACAGTGTGCCCAGTCCTGTGCTCATTAAGAAGTTTTCTGATACCTCCAAAGCCTTCATGGACATCATGTCTACCCAGGCCAGCAGCGGCTCCACCTCTGCTCTCCGATGGGTTAGTATTTGTGGTGTCGGAGCCCCTCAGACTTTTGAAAGTGCAAGTGTTCCCTGGGAGGCACTCTGCCAATCTCAGAGGCATCCTTTTAGGATTTTCCAGAGTTGCTTAGAAGCTGGACCCTTTCCTCAGGGCTGCACTGGTAGAACTGAGAGACTCTGACTCTTCTCTTCAAGGTCCTCTCCTGCGTGGCCACTCTTCTTCGAAAGCAAGACCTAGAGGCCTGGGGCTACCCTGTGACCCTCCAGGTGTACCATGGGCTGCTGAGCTTCACTATGCATGCCAAGCCCAAGGTGAGACCATGTGTTCCCAGGAAATGGGGGCTGAGCCGGGCTGGCCTGTGTGAGCAGGCTCGGCAGGGGGCTTTGTGCTGGATTCTTAGCCAGGGTTCTGCTTTTGATGTGTTTAGGTGGGGGCACCAGTGTCGGCCCTTCCTGAGCCAGTGGCATCTGAGTCTCACTGTGTCTTTGTCTTGGCAAGAAGGGTAATACAGTGAGAGGAGGGGCTGGAGAGTCCCATAGACCTGAGATGGGTCTTGAATTCCCTACTGTTGTGCACTTTGGCCAGGTTGCTTAACTGCCTCTAAGCCACAGCTTCCTCACCAACTGTCAAGTAGAGATAATAATTCCAGCCTTGCTGCGGGGGTGGGAGTCTTCTCCCGTTGTTCCCAGGTCTGGTGCAGCTCTTGCCCCCGAGCAGGTGTTTGGTAAGCAGTGGTTCTCTGGGGCAGTGAGCATGTAATAATTAAGTACCATCATATCATCCCTCGTTGTTGCAAGCACTGTTAGCCTAGGGAGTCTTGAGTTCACTGCTGTCCTGTCAGTTTGGCCGGGTTATTTAGCTGTCTCTAAGCCACCACACCCAGCAGCCCTGTTTTATTTTCTGTGGAGTTTTTTAGTACTTGGGGTTAACCTAGGGTTTTCGAATGGAGCTATACCCCAGCCTTTTAAAAATTACTTATTTTTTTTTTTTTTTTTTTTTTTTTGCAGAACCAGGGATTGAACTCAGGCCCTTGCGCTTGCCAGGGAAGCGCTTATTCTACTGAGCCATCTCCCCATCCTAAAATTACTTACTTTGAAGCAGGGTCTCACTAATTCTCTGTTATCCTGGCTGGACTCATCTGTGGTTCTTCTGCTTCAGTCTCCCAGAGTGCTAGGATTATAGGCATGTGCCACCAGTCTCGCTACAAAGTGCGGCAGTACAGTTCGTGAATGCTTTTGTTTGCAAACAGATTTGGTTTACCAACAAGCATTTGGCAAAATTTTGGTTTTGTTTGCAAACTCTGCCGCAGGTGATAAACACAACCATGGGTGTTTTTTTCTCACAAACTCAAACATGGCCATCTTTTCCAGAATCATAGAACAAATTGCTGAGCTGGGTACCTCTGTTCCTCTTAATGTTTGGCTGCATGTGTATTTTCCACCACTCAAGTAGGATGTTGGTTGTTAGCCGGGTGTAGTGGCACACAGAGGACAATCATTGAAAGTTTGAGATTAGCCTGGGCTGCGAAGTGAACTCAAGGCCAGCCTGCACTGTAGGCGAGATCTTGTCTAAATAAAAGTATCTTAGTTGTTCATTGGCATTTGCTAGTATGTAGAGTGGTGCTTGGCTTGGTGACACTCGGCATTTGCTGCATGATTGAATGACTGAATTCCTGCCTCGGAGATGAGAATACTTGGACTCAGATTAAGTAGTTGGGCTTGCACAGGGCCATTTGGTGAGTCAGTAGAGCACTCAGGATTTTACATGTGAGAAGGCCATGGCGGAGCCCTGGGGATATTGCAGCTGTGAAGTCAAAACTTGGCAAACGCGCTGGGGAGAGATAGCTCAGTAGCTTAAGTGCCTGCCTGGCAGTTCAGGGTCATGAGTTCATCCCCAGTACCGCAAAAAAACCCCAAAAACCAAAAAACTTGGCATATAAAGACAACAATATGCAATGTATTATTGTAACCATCTTACCTGTTTTGAAATTGTTTTATTGGGGCCGGGGAGATGGCTCAGTGGAATAAGCGCTTCCCTGGCAAGCGCAAGGGCCTGAGTTCAATCCCCGGTTCCACAAAAAAAAAGAAATTGTTTTATTGCTATTTTTTTCTCATTAAAATGGATTTAAAAAATGTGGCAGTTGGCAGAATGCTGATCTGGTACTGACCCCACTTCTTGCCCCTCAGGTCCGGAAAGCTGCCCAGCATGGAGTGTGCTCAGTGATTAAAGGCAGCGAATTCATGTTTGGTGAGAAGGCCCCTGCCCATCATCCTGCCGCTGTTTCCACTGCTAGGTTCTGCATCCAGGAGATTGAGAAGTCTGGAGGTACAGAGGCCAGGCCGGCGACAGTGGATGAGAAGTGGCAGCGAATGATGGAGGAGGCTTGGTAACAGATCTCCCCCTTTGTGTGCCAGGCACCAAGGAGGCCACCACCGCACTGCACATGCTGACACTGCTGAAAGACATGCTACCCTGCTTCCCGGAAGGCCTGGTGAAGAACTGCAGTGAGACGCTCCTCCGGGTCATGACCTTGAACCATGTGGTAAGCTCAGGCTACATGAGGAAAGTGAGGCCCTGTGATTGGGACTTTTGGGGGAAACTCAGTGGTCAGGGAAAAAGCAGGAGTCAGCGCTAGGTGCAGTGGTGCATACCAGTAGTCCCACCTACTCGGGGATTAGTTGAACCCAAGTTTAAGACCATCCTAGGTTACAACTCTGAAAAAATAAATCAAGCATGGTGATGCACACCTGTAATTCTAGCACTCAGGAGGCTGAGGCAAGAGGATTGATATGAGTTCAAGGCCAGCCTGGATTATGTAGTGAGATCCTGTCTCAAAAAACCAAAAATTGAAATAAAATGAAAAAGTAGGATCTGAATCTCTGTGCCCTGACCCTGTTCTTATACTAAAATTGAGGATCCCGTGACATCCACACTGTCCAGATAGGCCAGGCCACCTCAGGGTCCTGATACACTGACCTCAGAATTGGTGGTTGTCTTCCCTTCCCTCCAGCTCCACTCTAGCCAGAATCAGTTGTTTTTGCTTTATACCATTTGTTTATTTGCTTGCTTGCTTACCCGTGTCAGTGTAGCAGCTCTAAAGATAGCTTAACAGTTAGTCCCTGAGTCATAGATCAGTGATAGAGTGCTTCCCTAAATATGTGAGGTTTGGGGTTTAGTTCCTAGCAGCACACGCACCACTACCACCACCAAAAAAGAGACCTCTATTTTCCAAATCCTACCACAGTTTTGTTAATCTTTACATATTTTGTTTGGTTTTTTGAGACAGGGTCTATATATATAGTTTTTCATATTTTATTTTATTTTAGGGAAGGGTCTACAGGGTGTTTAGGGTCTCACTGCTAGATCCAACTCACAGTGATCCACTTGTTTACAGCCTCCCAAGAGCTGGGATTACAGGTGCCACCGTGCCCAGGCTCAATTGCCATCTCAGTGCCCAGGCGCGGGGCTGGCACGGCAGGCCGCGAGATCACACTCTCAGCCCCTGCACCTGCTTGCAGGTGCTTTAATCCGCTAAGCTTTTTGGCCGGCCCTCAAAACGTAGTTTAGACTGACCTTAAACTCACTATGTAGTTCAAGCTGATTTTGAATTCATGGCAGTGTTCTTGCCTCCGTCTCCAAATGCTAAGATTATAAGCATGAGCCACTGTGCGTGGCTTTGTACAGTCTTGTACTGTAGTCTCTTCTGGTGTTTGTTTATATATTGGAGTATTTTGTTATTGTATGACTTGCATAAAGGGAAGACTCAGTAAAACTTCTGTAAAGTTCAGACTCTTACTGTTCATGTATGTAGCACAGATAACTTTTTGCATCCTGTTTTGTTTTCTTTTTGTGTGGCCGTACGGATTCAATCCATTGAGTGGTGAACTACATCCCCAGCCCATTTCATTTTATTTTGAGTACAGGTTTTTGTTTGTTTGTTTTGTTTTTTTGGTGGTACCAGGGATCAAACTCAGGATCTTCGCCTTTGAGGCAGGTGCTTACAGCTTAGCATATGCTGTACCACCAAGGTATTCCTGACCTCCAGTAGTGACCTCCGTGTCCTACTGAAGTCCCAGTCCTCACAGTATCTGGCTTTAAGGGCGTGTTTAGGCTCACAGGCCCTGTGACTCCCTTAGCCTGGGTGGTGGAGTGGGAGTTGAGTCCAGGCTCTGCAGTTCTCCTCTAAGCCAGTGTGTCTCTCCTAGCTGGTAACAGCCTGTGCCATGCAGGCCTTCCACAGCCTCTTCCATGCCAAGCCCAGCCTAGGCACCCTGTCGGCAGAGCTCAACGCCCAGATCATCACGGTGAGACCTTAATGGGGGCGGGGGGAGATCGCTAGGCAGGTCCCTTGGGAGCTGTGCTGTGTACCAGACCTGTTGCTTGTCTGTGCAGAGAGGTGCATGCTCCGGGTAGCCCTGGTGGGGGACACCTCTAAGCAGGTACCTGGAGCTGGAGCCTGCGCTCTCTCTGGACCTAGCTAACCTTCTAAATGACTTTAGCAGGATCTTGTAACAGGGCTCTCAGCCTTAGACAGGCATGTGTATGTGTGTATGTATGCATGCACACACACTGTGCTTTTCCTTCTAGAATAGTAGATGAGCTACCATACTCCTTGCTCCTGCTGGCTGGCTGTGCAAAGTATCAGAACTGAGGGCTTCATGGATTGGAGGAGCTCAGGATCTGTGGGTTCATGACTGCCAGCAGGACATTGCTGGTTCCCTGAGGCTAGGAAGGTGTCATTGGAGCTACTGTTGGCAGCCTGCTTAGTAACCTGCTTGTTCCCTGCCTAACCTCCAGGCCCTATATGACTACTTGCCCAGTGAGAATGACTTGCAGCCCCTGCTGGCCTGGCTTAAGGTCATGGAGAAAGCCCACATCAACTTGGTCCGGTAGGTATGAGGGGAAGGGGTGCCTGAGACCTCCCTCCAGGCTGCCTGATGTGCGTGCAGATGGGAGAGATGAGAGCTGTGGCTGGAGGGCCTGTGGCTTCCTGGGAGGGCTGGTGTTTCTGTGTTGAGCAGGTTGTAGCTCTGTTCTTGTGTTTGAGAGGCAGGCAGCCAAACACTGCTGCAGTTTGGGCGGACTTGATCTTGATTTTTGCCACTCCCTGGTTGTGACATCTTTGCTCTCAGTTTCTTCATCTAGAGGTTTCATTTCTTCTCTGCATTATCACTCCGTCCCATGCCCAAGACTAATGAGCTCTTTTTTTTTTTTTTATTTTGTGGTCCTCTGAACCGTTTCTGCTTTCTTTCTTGTCTTTTTTTTTTTTTTTTTTTTTTTAATGGATACAGGGTTCTCACGGCGTAATGCAGGTGTCCTTGAACTCACTTATGTAGCCCAGACTACCCTAAGTCACAGTGATCCTCCTGCCTTCACATTCATTCAGGTTGAGGCCTGGCCAC